AATTCTGAGTATTAGAGATTTGAATTCCCTATCAGGTAGTTGTAGTGCCTTTTCTTCCACTGGAAAGTCTTCTGGTGTTTTATTTTGGATGCCTATTGGAACCATCCTGTCCTGTTTTTGTAAATGTTTTGCTGTTGTCTGCTGTCTTCGGGGCATTCAGTAGTTATTTTTCTCATTTATTGATTGTAAATTTGTTTGTTTCGTCCCTTTTTTTTTAAATTTGGCTATGTCTGAGCAGGTGGGCTGTGTGTTCTTTGTTGTTTGCTCATCTGTTGGCACAATACTTTTCGCCTCCTTCTCCAATTGGCGGGGTCAGTCACTCAGTTATGGTACGGCAGGGCAGGTCCAGCTGAAGGGGAGTTACTGGGATGAGTTGTTTGTGGCACTCACTACAGCCACCAGGGCGGGTCGGTAATCATTGCAGGGCAGGTTCCAGTAAGCCGTGCCTGTGCTGCTTGGTGGTGTGATGTCAAGTGCATGGTGCAGGTAGGCAGGATGTAGCAGGGAGATTGTTATGTGTGGAGCTAAGATGGATATGGGAGAGAGGAGAGAGGAACAGGAGTGAAAAACATACAAACAAACAAAAAAGAATGCTTGGGGAACTTTCCATTAGAGTGGAGAGATGAGAGACTATGCAATGGAGAAAAAAAGGGGAAGAGGAAGAAAAGAAAACAATGAATAAATATATAAACATCAGGGGAAAAAACAGCAAAGTTCCCAGGGATCCCACCGGTGCGGCTGTGAGGTTTGGGGAAGTTGCTGTCAGGTGTTGCAGTACAGCCTGGCTAGAAGGCCTAGAGTTATACAACGCCAGGTATTCAGGGAACAGAAAGAGAAGGAAAATATAGAGAGACGAGAAACTGAGTAATGAAGAAAGACAAAAAGGGAAAAAGAGGGAAAAGAAAAGAAAACAAATTTTAAAAAAAGAACAAGAAAAGCCCCCCAGTAAACAAACAAACAAAGAAAAAAAACCAACAAAAAAATGCCCTCAGGGATCCTGCTGCACATCTGTGCAAGCCGAGGGAGTCGGTTCCAAGCCACGCAGCACTCCCTGGCCAGAACAGGCTTCCAACTCAAGAAAAGGAAAAGAAAACAAACAAACAATTCAAAACGAACAAAGGAACAAAAAGGCCCTGGGATCTCACCAGTGCGGCAGCCCAGACCGGGAAGCAGCTCCACACTCGAACGGAGCTCCACAGCCCCTCAGGAAGAAGCAAAGATGGCACACAGAGGCAGGTACTTGAATGAAAGGAGGAGGAGGTGGTGAGAAGTAAGGAAGAAATCAGAAGAAGCAGAAAAAAAGCAACACTGGCAGCCAACAAATGGCACTCAGAGAGCCAGCTAGTGCGAGCTGGTTGAATCCAAGTAGCCGGTGCTTCCTGGACAAGAGTCTGTGTCCGCGGGAAGGAGAAGAGGCCAAGTGTGGGTGAAGAAGGGTAGGGG